ATGTTTGTCAGAGCTTTCCATGGGATGAGTTACTTACGTGAAGTATTCATTTCATGTTGTGTCTCGAGAATCAGTGTCTAGTAACGTAATATGATGTCCTAGTAACGTAATATGATGTCCTAGTAACGTAATATGATGTCCTAGTAACGTAATATGATGTCTACTAACGTAATATGATGTCCTATTAACGTAATATGATGTCCTAGTAACGTATATGATGTCCTAGTAACGTAATATGATGTCCTAGTAACGTAATATGATGTCCTAAAGGCATATGATGTACAATAACGTAATATGATGTCCCAGTAACGTAATATGATGTCCTAGTAACGTAATATGATGTCCTAGTAACGTATAATGTCCTAGTAACGTAATATAATGCCTAGTAACGTAATATAATGTCCTAGTAACGTAATATGATGTCCTAGTAACGTAATATGATGTCCTAGTAACGTAATATGATGTCCTAGTAACGTAATATGATGTCCTAGCGTAATATGATGTCGTAACGTAATATGATGTCCTATCAAATATAGTCTGCAAGTAACATTATGATGTCTAGTAACATGTGATGTATAGCGTATATGATGTCTCTAGCATGTGTTCTAGTACATGTACAACATATGATGTCCTGACAAATGATGTCCTAATAACAATATAATGTCTAAACTAATATGATGTCCTAGTAACGTAATATGATGTCCTAGTAACGTAATATGATGTCCTAATTGTAACGTAATATGATGTCCTAGTAACGAATGATGTCTCGTAACGTAATATAATGTCTAACCAGCATGTAATATGTCTGAAACGTAATATGATGTCCTAGTAGCAATCATGATGTCCTAGTAACGTAATATGATGTCTAGTAACGTAATATGATGTCCTCAATGACGAATATGATGTCCTAGTAACATGATATATACAATATGATGTCCTAACGTAATATGATGTCCAGTGCATGATGATGTCTAACATATGATGTCCTAGTAACATGTATGATGTCCCAGTAACGTAATATGATACAGATATGATGTCTGTAGCATAATATGTGTCTAAATCAACGTAATATAATGTCCTAGTAACGTAATGTAATGTCTGTGGCATGACAGCAGTGTAGATGTCCTAGTAACGTAATATGATGTCCTAGTAACATATATGATGTCTGTATGTAATATGATGTCCCCAGTAGTATGATGTCCTGTACAATATGATGTCTTAACGTAGTATCCAATAACATATCAGATATAACGTAATATGATGTCCCAATAACGTAATATGATGTCCTATTAACGTAATATGATGTCTAGTAACGTAATATAATGTCTAGTACGTAATATGATGTCCTAGAAACGTAATATAATGTTCTAATAACGCAAATATAATGTCCTAGTAACTTCAATAGGGTGTTATTAATGTGTCCATGCCATTGTCGTCATTAATAAATAGTTTAGCCAACTAAGTGCTGTTGAAGTCGTCCTTAGAACGTAATAGATGTGCTGACGGATAAGATCAGTGTATTGACCAGAGTAAATAATCAACACGGCCACGTTACCAAAGTCTTCCTCTCTTTACTACTATTAATATTCTACCTAGCATATGTAATCTTCTTCTTGTGAGTTATGACTCGTTACACCTACAAAATATGTGGTGAGGGGTGAAAGTGTAGGGTGAGGGGTGAGGTGAGGGTGAGGGTGAGGGTGAGGGTGTGAGGTGAGGGGGTGTGAGGGTGTAGGGTGAGGGGTGTGGGTGAGGTGTAGGGTGAGGTGAGGGTGTAGGGGTGAGGGGGTAGGGGGGTGAGGGGGGGTGAGGGGTGTAGGGGTGAGGTGAGGGGTGAGGGTGAGGGTGAGGGTGTGGGGTGAGGGTGTAGAGTGAGGTGGGGTAAGGGTGTAGGTGGGGTGAGGGTGTGGGGTGAAAGGGGTGAGGGGTGTGGGGAGGGGGGTGGGGTGAGGGGGTGAGGGTGTGGGGTGAGGGGTGTGGGGTGGGGGGGTGTGGGGTGAGGGGGTGTGGGGTGACAGGGGTGAGAGATGGGGTGAGGGTGTGGGTGAGGGGTGAGGGTGAGGGTGTGGGGTGAGGGGGGGGGTGTGGGGTGAGAGGTGTGGGTGAGGGGGGTGTGGGGTGGGGAGGTGTAGGTGAGGGTGTAGCAGGAGGGCAGGGGTGAGGGTGTGGGAGGGTGTAGGGTGAGGGGGGGTGAGGGTGAGGGGTGTGGGGTGAGGGGTGTAGGGGTGACGGGTGAGGTGTGGGGTGGGGGTTGCAGGGTGGGGGTGTGGGGTGACAGGGGTGAGGGGTGTAGGGGTGGGGGTGTGGGGTGAGGGGTGAAGAGGGGTGAGGGGTGTAGGGTGAGGAGGGGGGATGCTACATGAGCGTTCAAGTCTCCCCAGTGCGTCCCCCCCCTCCCTAACAACAAAAACAGACAAAGAAGGCAGGAGAAGCAGGAGGCAGGAGGGTAGCAGAAAGGCAGGAGGAAATGAGGACGTAGAAAGCAGAGGCAGAGAAGTAAGCAGAAGGCAGAACATGCGCGTGGGAGACTACCCAGCCCATACCTGAGTCAACACCGTGAGACCCAACTCCCCACCATTTTTGTTTTTATACGGCCACCAGCCTCCCCAACAGCCAAACCTTCGCCGCCATTTATTACCTAATATTTAATATCCGCATACACAAGTAGGCATTCTAGCTGCCATTACCACTACTACCACCATAACCACTACTACCACCACAACCACTACTACAACCATAACCACTACACACACCACAACCATACTACAACCACATAACCACTACCCACAACACTACTACCACCATAACCACTAACCCACTACCACTAATACCAACTTTTGCCTCCAGAAACAGAATCTCGCCCCAAAGCCAACAACAACATGGAGGCACGCTACCAAACAGGAGGCACTGGGAAGACATTAAAACATAATGTGTTGTATAATAGTAGACCTACAGCTCATATATGACCAAGTCCCATGTTTACATCTGACTTTCTGCCTCATTTACAAATTGTAGGGTCTCAAGTTTCTCTTACTATTGACAACACAACATATATTGTTTCTCACTATTGATGCTTATTTTTTCATTTTCGTATTTATTATTATTAATATGTTAATTATTATATTTTCGATCCCCAAGCCCTTATATTGGGCTATCCAGGAAAAAAAAACGATAATGACTGAGTACCGCAGAGACATTCATAACTAACCATTCAACTGGGGTAGTTAGAGATTATTAAAGAGATTAAGCAATAAAATGGTGGTGAAGGACATATAAAGGCAGGTTAGATAATAATTAAAAAAAAATATATGTACTACTACTAAATAATAATAATATATATATAATATATAATAATATATAATAATAATAATAATAATATAATAATAATAATAATAATAATAATAATAATAATAATATTTTTTTTTTTCAATATCAACTTCCCCAACAGCCACACCTCCAACCCATTTAATTACATAATATTAAATATCCTAATGCATAGTAGCTATCCTATCTGTGTTGTTGAGTTAGTTGGTACAGATCTATGCGGCATTCAGTGACTGTAACCTCATAGTGTATCTGCAGCAGTTGTCGTATATGTATCACTACTACCACCTAATACTGTCACTGCTGCTGTCACTTAACACCATATCTTATTTTGATTTTTGTCATACTAAGGTTACCATACTTCAAGCTGCCTATGACATCAACAACTCCTGACTGTCATATGACTAATCATTAGTGACACTGTACTGTCACTTACGCTGCTGCATGATATGCCGGTGTAACACTGCTGCAGAGCTATAAGTACTGTACACTGCTGCTGCCAGTGCTGCATGACATACGGTGTTGTAGCTGTAACAATTGACACCATTATAGAACTCTTATGCACTAACAACAGCTGCCTGACACAGTATATACTTTCTACAACAACAACACAGGCTACCAGGCTCTTTCTTGACAATATGAAACATACTTTCAGCTATGCAGACAGAGCTCCTTGGGCTCTCTTACTTTCTTCAATTAACATATGACTATAAATGGTGTACTTTAACAACAGCACCTTATGACTATGGGAAACTCTGCTATAACATATGACTATAAATAGTGCTACTATATATATGACTGCCGTGGGTGTAACAGCAACATATGACTGTAGTGGGTGGCAACAACAACATACAGGCTGCCGATCTCTTGGCTGTGGCATGGGTAGATGCTCTTAACAACATGGCCGGTTGGTTTTGACTGTTTGGGTGGGTTGGGCTGGCAGCAGCAGCAACTGGGTTGGTTGACTGACAGCAGGCAGACTGGGTTGGGCAACTGACAGCGGCCTTTGGGTCTTGGCCAGCAGGCTGTGGAATGTGGCCGATGTGC